AACCTGTAATATTTAGTGACGAAAGCAAATATAACATTTTTGGATCCGATGGTCGTCCTAAGGGCCAGCGGAAACCAAATTAAGGTTGGTATCCAGCTCTCAAGTAATTGCTCAAGAAAAAAAATACATTATTTCTTCAAGTTGTTTTGACGGCTGGTTACGCATTCTGAATGATCCACAATAGAAGAGCAAGAGAGAATAAACGAAAGAAAATAAACTTTGTGCGTAATATGTATGTACATATGTGTTGTAACATACATTTTTTCATTGCGATTTAAGGAATGTTGTTGATGATTGGCAAGTTTATTACAACATTTCAAAAAGAAATATACTTCAAAATAATGAATTTAACTAATTTAGGATGAATTTAACGATTACCTTGAATTTCCTTCAAGAAACAATTGTTGAAAAAATGTATTAAAAATTAGTACTAGATTACTTTAGAGCTGCATACAAGTAAATTTTTCGCAGGAAAGCTACTTGACCGTTTCTCTAGCGGTTTTTTATATGAAGTTTTTACATTTCTTGAGAGCTGGATTAAGCTTTAAGAATTAAGTATCAAAAACGTCAAAGTAACTGTTAAGCATGGCAGTGGTTCACCCATGGTGTGGGGCTTCATGTCAGCTCAGGGAGTCGGGAATCTCATTTTTATAAACGGCACAATAAATAAGCATCTTTATTTATCAATTCTCAAGGAAAATTTACATTCCAGTGCTGAAAAATGGGCATGTCAAAAAAATAGTTTTTATTTCAAGACGACAATGGTCCGAACGATAATGGCCCTTCAACGCGAAACATCTGCCAACACCTCCACAAAGTCCCGACATTAATACAATTGAAAATCTTTGGACCAATCTAGAAAAAAAGTATGAAATTGTCAAATTTCATCAACAAGTGTGCTCAAAAGAGTTTTAAAAGAGGAATGGGACAAAATACGCCCCGACTTTTGCCGAAAGTTGACAGAATCAATGCCAGGACGATGGAAGCTATCGGTAAAATTAGTGGCTTTCATATGAAATGCTAAGTAATTTTTACTTATGTTCCCATATAACTACTGCTGAAAAGCGAAATACTTTTGTGAGCCAAAAATTCTGAATATTTCAAGATGTTGTTGACTTTTTAATGAAAAATTAAATTGTTTTTAAGGTTTAACACTCTCTTTGGCATTTATTTTTTGAAGATTATTTCTAACAAATTTTGGCCGCGGCAACGGCGTAGGGTAGTGAGTGAAGAAATATTCATCAATGATTCCACTGGCCCATAAACCATTTCTGTGAGTGAAATGGCACCTCTTGAATCTCTTTAGATTGCTCTTCGGCAGTTTTGCTTGTWTATTTAGAAAAATTTGGCTCGAAAACGTGGGATCTTTTTGGAACTTTTCAAGAGCCCATAGAGCGATGTTACTTGGGAAAGTCGAGCAGTTTCAGTTCTTGCACAAACTTGCTAATTTAACATCTCGACGTAAAATGCGCCAAGTCATTCCAGCCAGTCTGTGTCGCTGCGAACGGCGCCGAATCGACTCTCCACAGTCTTCGTGTACACTCTCGGCTACGGCTACTATATTTTTTTCACTGTGTGCTGGACGTGGTCTATTCGGTCGAATATTATACAGTAATGAATACTGGGTCTCAAGATCGGTGATGGTGTTGCGAATAATACGCTCAGTAGGCCGATTATGTTGACAATAAGCTGAGCGAAATGCATTCTTTACAGAACGTGAATTTTAGAATAAAGTCAGACGATTTGTAACGTTGCTCAGTCTTTTCATGATGAAATGCTAAGCAATACTGAACAAATATAACGTGATAGCTCGACACCACTCACAACTGAAATAAATGCTTTGGAAAAAACCAGCCGGAAGTTCGTATATAGGGTATGTGGTGACTATGATCGTATTCACTTGATTTTATCCAATTTAGGCACAAGTAAGCATTGTTATTAGAAAACCATTGTTTCTAAATAAAATAATTCACATCTTGGAAATATTTATAAGAGGATACTGACCCACTTTGTCCCAGCAATGGACATTTTGTTTCCCATATCCGACATCTGGGGTTTTGAAAATTTAATTTAATTTCATGTTTCATTTCTGTGGAAGAAAGTCGAGGTAATATATATACCAATTAGCCTTTCTATTAAAAACGTTGGAAAAACTAATAGAAATTCACATAACTAATAAAACAAAAAAACAACTAAAGAAAAATCCTCAGAACTGCACTAAACTCCGTGGTAGCAGATATTGGAAAATTTCTGGAGGTAAAAGAATACATTTTCGTATCCTTCGTAGACGTAGGAGCCGCTTTTAATAACGTCCTAAGGGCATGTTGAGGGCGCTTAAAGATTTGAACATATCTGAGGCTCTCGGGAAATAAATTGAATACATGCTTATGAGCAGGTCAATAATTTAAACGCTGCGAGCTTCAAAGAGGTGCAGATTTGTCCAAAGGGGTACACCCTCAAGGAGGATCTCAACAATAAATCAAATGTTGTTAGATCTAGAAAAGAAGAATTGGCACTACAGAGCAGTTATAAGAACGACTTTGACTTGCGGTATATTGGTAAGTAGGAATTTATATGCCTCTGGCTACTTGCTGATGTCGGCGAAATCAACCCCTAATTTGTTCAACAAGCAGGCAAAGCCGGGCCCCTTATGAACATGTAAGGTAACACGAAACATATTATAGCAAACACGATAGCTGACGCTAATATTTTAATAACAAATATAGCTGAGCTAATATTTCGCAATCAGAAATAAAGTTATAGCTGACAGTAATTTTTCGTCAACAACAGGAAGCGAACATCCGCCACGAGCCACAAAGGTGCATTTCCTTTTTTTTCAATGAAGTTAGAAAATCAAAACTTTAGAGTAAATCACGCTAACAATCAATTTCCTAGACAACAATTCCAACAACAGAATTTTTTTCCAAATTTTAATCGAAAACTTCCTCAAACCAAATCCCGAGTTAGCTTTTATACCAAAACCAAATCAAATATTTAATCCTTATGGTCAACAACGGTATCCCCAAAATCCAGTAAACCAACAACATGATTTTCATAATCAAAACCCATTTAATCAACCACCAAATAATCCCCCTCCAAGACCACCAAAACCACCTCAACCAATGGAYGTAGACGTTAGCCTAAGAACAAATGCTATCAATTACGCCAATAGACCAAATCCTAAATTAACTGTCAAACGACCAT